CCCCCCCCCCCCCCCCACATACTCACAATCTCTGATCTTTGCTCTCACCTGCCTACACACCTTTGCCCCGCATCACTGCCGCTGGCTTCCTCACTATCTCTTGGTCTTTCTGAGGGATGATAATCAAAATGCTTAACAACCCAGTACAACAGGATGCTGACCTGTCAGAATGGACAAGGGCTCTTAGCACAAGTCTTGGAAACTGCCCCCTGGGTAGACATAAAACTTTTAGTTATGGGGAGGTAGAAGAGGAGACCCAGGGCAGGGCCTGAGCAGCTTTGGGGGACACTATGGGAGCTCAGGGTGATAGTTCTTTACAGCTGGCACAGAAACATTTTTACATTTGAACAAGAGGAATAGGATGTTCTGTATTTGCAGGACATCAGGGACCTTAGTCCTCTTGAATTCCTCCATCCCTGTCAGAAAGCTTAGAGCCAGTCTCTCCACTTGCACTGCTGAGTCCCGGGTTGGGGCTAGAGAGAGGGGCCACTCAGACCTTTGTCTTCAGGACCTCCACATCTATGTAGGGAACCTGGATTCCTGAGGTCAGGTCAGGGAAGGTGGGGAGAGGAGACTCTGGGACAGGAACAGGGGCAGGGGCAGGGGTTCTGACATTCCAGATTCAGAAGCAGACTCAGCCTAACTTCTGGCCTCCTCCCTATTTCTGTGTGGGCACTGCCCGCCCCCTGACCAACTCCCATCCAGCTCTTGTCTGGGGCAAGGAAGGAGGCAAGTGTGGGGGTGGGGGCGGTGGGAGGATGAGTGAGAGCCTTCCCACTTTGTGGGCCAGACCTGAAGGGCTGGAGGACAAACTATGCTAAAGTAAAAGCTGTTCCCTTACACCTCACTCCTACTGAGATTCCAGAAAAATCAGAGAAGATGGTCCAGCCATGTTCTGGGCTCCCTGTCATTGACTCTGCTTCCAGTCCCTTCCACAGGGCCCTGTTAGAGTTTGGGCATTGTGGGTGGGAGGGCATGTCTGCTTCTTCTTCAGGGTGCAGTTGCAGCAGGAGGGGGTTGGGTTGGATCCCCCCAGGAATGGCTTCCCGTTCTGACGACTGCAGGTGGAGGTTGCTGGATTTACTCCTTCCTTCTGGAGTGAGAGTTGCTGGGCCTCACTCTCCCTGCCTGGTTCTATTTCCTGATACAGATGTTTGGCTGTGGCTCCGTGGCCCAAGTGGTGCTCAGCCGGGGCACCCACGGTGGTTTCCTCACCATCAACCTAGCCTTTGGCTTCGCTGTCACCCTGGGCATCCTTGTTGCTGGCCAGGTCTCTGGTAAGGCCTTGCTCCACCTTCAGTCATTACCTTCAAGGGCATTACCCAGGGTGCCCAACTGGGGAATGAGGTGGTGGGGGCCATTCTCAAGGGCAGGGAATAGCCGTGGCCTCAGCTTTGAGCCCTTTGAAGTGGAGAGTGGAGAAGGAACTTGACACTTTGAACCTCTGACTCTCACCTTGGAATCGGATTATCAGTGTTGGCCTGTTACATAGTCCAACTCACCATCCGGTACAAGAAACCCTTCTCTGCACCCCTGCCCCCTAAGGCCAAAGAAGGGGAATATGGAGGTTAGAGATCCTGGGATTCCCAACTGTGGGAGGTTACAGTGACTAATAGGTCCCATCTCCTCTTTTCCCAGGGGCCCACCTGAACCCTGCTGTGACCTTTGCCATGTGTTTCTTGGCACGTGAGCCCTGGATCAAGCTGCCCATCTATGCCTTGGCTCAGACACTGGGAGCCTTCTTGGGTGCTGGAATTGTTTTTGGGCTGTATTATGGTGAGCATTCCCCACCCTGCCATCCTCCACTACCTCCCTTTCTCTGCTTGGGACCTCCTGGCACCAGGCCTTTTGATGATAGACAGCTGGGGCCTGCCCAGGCCCCGAGCTTATGACTCACTCATTCACTGCACAGGACCAAGGTTGGGGGCACAAGGTGAAAGAAAGAAACAAGTTGGGCAACAGAGTCTCAGGCCATCCACCATCCTCGCTGCCCACCCCCCTCCCCCGCCCCTGCCACCCTTCCATAGACTTCTGAGTAATACAGCAGTGATGTGCTGCTCACCTGCGATCCTCCAGAAGGGTGGGCCTGACCTGAGACAGGAGAGCCGGGTAAGCCTCTGCCCTCACCCACTCTGGGTCTAATCTTTCACCAGATGCAATCTGGGACTTCGCTAAGAATGAGCTTGTAGTCTCGGGCCCCAATGGCACAGCTGGCATCTTTGCTACCTACCCCTCTGGACACTTGGACATGGTCAATGGATTCTTTGACCAGGTATGAGCTGGGGACTCATTAGGGGAACACAGAGAGGAGGACCAAGCTGCTGTGAGTATCTCATGGGGGGCTGGGGGACAGGACTCCTTGTTTATAGCAGGGTTGTCTCAATGTGTGGGGACACTGACACCAGAATCATGGTGATAGGTACTTATAAAACATGCAGATTCCTAGGAATCTTCATCTTCAGCTAGTTCCCCAGGGGCCAGCACCACTGCTGGAGAGAAGTGAACTTGGGAAGTGTTAAGGCTCCAGGAGCCCAAGGACAGAGGAGGGACCAGAGGGTAGGGTAGGAGCAGCTCCTCATCCTGTCCTCTCCATTCCCCAGTTCATTGGCACAGCATCCCTCATCGTGTGTGTGCTGGCCATTGTTGACCCCTACAACAACCCTGTCCCCCGTGGCCTGGAGGCCTTCACCGTGGGCCTGGTGGTCCTCGTTATCGGCACTTCCATGGGTTTCAACTCTGGCTATGCTGTCAATCCCGCCCGGGACTTTGGCCCTCGCCTTTTCACCGCCATTGCTGGCTGGGGCTCTGAAGTCTTCACGTGAGTGCAGCCCCCTCCACCCAGCCTGTCCCAGCCTGCCTCCCCTTTGCCACCCCACCCTCCCCTGACCACATGTGTCTGTCCCTAGGACTGGCCGACACTGGTGGTGGGTGCCCATCGTCTCTCCTCTTCTGGGCTCCATTGCGGGAGTCTTTGTGTATCAGCTCATGATCGGCTGCCACCTGGAGCAGCCTGCACCCTCCACTGAGCAGGAGAATGTGAAGCTGGCCCACGTGAAGCACAAGGAGCAGATCTGAGTGGCCAGGGGCCACCTCCCCACCCTCTCTTGAGCAGCCACAGACTGTGCAGGGGCTGCTCCCTGGAAGCCTTTGTGGTCCCCCTCCCGGACTAAGAAACTCCGTCTACTCCCCCCCGCAGTGGGACGGCCTTCTTCAGGATTCCCCACTGGACCCTGCCCAAACAGGACCTTAGGACACTGTCTTTAAGCTGTTTTGGGACAGGGAGTAGGGCCAACATATCTCTTTGTCTCCCCAAAAGTGAGAATAGGCAGCTGGTGTTTGAGTGTGTGTGTGTGTGTGTGTGTGTGTGTGTGTGTGTGGTTTCCTAGATATCAGGGCAAGGGACCAAGTGGAAAGGATTCTAGCTGTTAGGGGAGCCTAGGGAAAGGTCCATCTGTGGTATGTCCCCTCTGTGAGTGAGGAAAGTGCCAGGGGTCTGCATGTTTTGGGGGCTCCATGTGGAGGAGGGTCCAGATATGTGTTTCTGAGTGTGTGTGTGTATGTGTGTGTGTGTGTGTGTGTGTGCACGCGCGTGCACCCTTTTTCTAGCAGGGGGTTTCTACAGGCTTTGGGGGAGGTAGGGTGGGAATATGGAGGTAGGACCGGGAGGAGGAGACCCCAGCCCAGGTGTGGAGCTCTGGCTGTACATAAGTAGGAGCAGAGAACGTATTTCTGTCATAATGTAGGCATGTGTGGTGGTGGGGTGAAGTCCAGGTATAAGTTTCATGTTTTTTGGTTTTTTAAAAAATATACATAGTAGATGTTACAGTTTTAAGGATGGGGGTTGGGAGACTCTACTTAAAATAGGGTCTTCACCCCTTTAATTCTCCACTCAACACATGTACTCTTTTGCCTTTTATATATATATAAAACAATAAAATGTGTGCCTAAAACTGCCAATTGTGGAAATTTGTCTCTGTTTTCTCTGCTGTTGTCCTGGGGCCAGCTAAGGAGCTTCATTGTGTCCAACCACAAATACCCAGGGTGCCCAGCCGGGCCAGGGCACCCTAGGGGCAGTACTCGGGCCCTGCTTGAGGGGCAAGAGTAAGTCCCACAGACAGGTGAGTGAGCCTCTTCACCAAGCTTCTCAGCTTGAACTCAGTGGCCCCACACTTTCTCCCAAGCTTCCATCTTCCTACACAATGAGTGGCATCTTCTTCCTGATCCCTGCACCCACACATCATCCCAGGAAGGCAGGCTTGAACCTGGCCTAGGAAAGAACTTTCTCCCAGGCAGAGCTGCCCAAAGGGGAGGATTGCTATTCAAGAAGTAGTGAGCTCCCTGTTGCTGGAGGAGGCCAATCAGACTAGTCACCTGTATAGTCCTCTATAGCTCTCAGCTGTTTAGGCTCTGTTACCTCCACCCAGACCTTGGCCACAGCCCCCTTAGCAGCCTCCCTGTCTCCAGGCTGGCCTCAGCCAGACTATACAGGACCACAGGGATCTTTCTGGCACCACTGTTAAAAGAGGGCTTCGTTCCAAGGCTCTGCCTGATAATTCAGACACAATCCCAAACCCTCCCTCCTGCACTCAGCTTCTCCAGGACCTGGCCCACAGTCCCTTCCTATGCCCTCATAGTGCTCCCCTCACAGTGCTGCATCACCCCAGACTACTTTGTGTACTTCTGCGCCTTCCTACCTTTGGACCCTTGCTCCAAAGTGCTCATTCACTGAAATCCTCCTGGTCTTCTCTAAGTGTCTTCTCTAGAAAGTCACCCCTGCTCTTCCCCACCCTTCCACCATCTTCTGCAGTTAGTTGTCTGAACCCAGGACTGCATTCATCCCTGTCTCCCTCCGCTCTTCTCACTTCTTCAGTCTGAGACACCTCCATTGTCCGTAAGCCTGGGGTTGGACCGATGCTGGTGTCCTGACTGCCCAGAGAGGCAATGGACTTGGCACACCTGAGCCCAGGAAGCTCTGTCAAGAAATCATGTGCCCCTTCTCACCTTCTACTTCTCACCTTCTACTTCCCTGCCTCACCAGATCCTCCTCAGGTTTCACTGGGAATACAAGGGAAGGCGGGCCCCAAGCCTAGCCCTCCTGCAGAGTTAACCCCAGGGCAGCCAGAGGATCCCTGGGTCTGGCAGGAGAAATGTGGTCTTTAGAGATTGAGCTGGTGCTCCCCAGCCACTTCATAGTTGAGGAGACCATGGCCCAGAGAGGGTGGGTGGCAAATGCAGGGTCACACAGCCAGGACTCTGGGGAGGTGGGGGTAGAAGGCTGGTCCATCTCAGGTCTCCAACCCCTCCTTGTCCCCAGCTCCCAAGAGGTGTGTCTGGAATGTTGGAGAGACCTGAGCCAGAGGGAGTGTCCCCTTCCCAGGCCCTCTGGGGAGGAAGGGCCAGACTTGGGAGGGGAATGTGACTTCAGAGTTTCATTCCAGCTACACCAGTCCTACCTCTGGTGCCCCCACCCTGCTGTCCTCCCCAGCATGCCCAATGCCTTCTGTCATCCCTTCCTCTCAAATTCTGTAGCTGATCCTGACCAGTCAGCCAGGGGCTGGGGGGAGGTCTTTTGGTGCAGTGGTTAAAGAGAAGTCAAGCCTGGATTCCAGGCCCAGCTTGGCCTCTTTCTAGCTGTGTGACTTTGGGGTGGTCATTTTTCTTTCCCTGAACCTCAGTTTCCTCATTTGTGAATTGGGAGATATTGAGAGGAAGAGGTAGTAGAAGATAATTCATGAAAAGGACTTAGCATAGTGACCAGCAGATGGTAAATAGTCAATAAATGTCACCTTATGATTTTTTCCTGCAGAATTGGAGAGGAGGGGATGGTGGTTGTGGAGAGGTGCTGAAGGCTGTTTTTTTTTTAAGGTCATTGAATTCCACATCCTCTTCTGCTTCAGATTCCTTCCATGGATTCTGAATTTCCTGAAGAGGGGGAGGATGAGTCGGGGTGATGGCTTGCTGTGACCTGACTTGAGGAGGCTTTTGGAGAGAGATAGAAGAGAAACACAAGAGGGTTACATGTACAGGTGTAGAGGGCAGAGGAGTGGGCAGCCTAGGGACCGTGTTGGATGGAGGGTCAGACCTCCTGAGAAAGGTTCAGGCCTGGCCAGGCAAGGAGCAGTGAATGAAGGCAGGGTCTGGTAGGGACATGAACCAAGCAGCAGCATGTGACCCCTCCAGGGGCTGGAGGGAAGCTTCCTACCTCCCCACTCATGTCCAGGCTATGCCTCTCATTAGTAGCTGTGGCTGATAGCAAGTTCTAAAAAGAAATGTTTTCATCTTCTTTAGGTAAGTATCTTTTTTTTTAATTTTTGAATTAAATTAAATTATTTTTTTTCCCTTTAGGGAAGTATCTTAATCTACTTTACAGGGTGTGCTTGAAGGTGCCATGTGGGAGGGTAGATAGATCCCACACCTCAGCTCTGTCCTTCCTGAGTCTAGTCCCCTCCACAGCTCACTTTGGAGGAGCCCATGTTTCTTCAAAGTTTTGACTTGTTTGGACTGAAATTAGCCTCCCTGAAACCTGAGCTTGGTTCCTGTTTCCTTGTGTGCTTGCCTCTGAGTGTGTGCACACATGCAAGTGTGCATTTCTCAGTGTTCCTGGGAGTGGCTGTCTTTCTCTTTCAGTATGTCTTATGTCTCTGTGGGTCTGTGCCTCTGGCCAACCAGGTCTCTGTCCCTTTCTGTGTTTCTGTCACTGCCTGACTCTTTGTGGCTGGATCTTTCTTTGTGTATTTCTTTTTTTTTTTTTTTCTTAAAAAAAATTTTTTTTTTCAACGTTTATTTATTTTTGGGACAGAGAGAGACAGAGCATGAACGGGGGAGGGGCAGAGAGAGAGGGAGACACAGAATCGGAAACAGGCTCCAGGCTCTGAGCCATCAGCCCAGAGCCTGACGCGGGGCTCGAACTCACGCACCGCGAGATCGTGACCTGGCTGAAGTCGCTTAACCGACTGCGCCACCCAGGCGCCCCTCTTTGTGTATTTCTAACTGTACATCTGGTATACCTCAGAGTCCATCTCTGCTTGTACCTAAGAGTGACTCTCCTGCTAGCCCAATCGGCTCGTCTTACCCCAGGGCATGCCTCCTCCTTAATTCCTGGCAATGAGCTCCCTCCTTCTTGCTAACTCTTTCCCCTTGATTTTGTTTGTCTGAAAACCTGGGTGGGGCTCCCCCTAGGCTTGGGGAAGCATGGGTGGGGCAGAGTTGGGTGGGGTGGGAAGGGGAGAGGAGGAACTACTCCACCCCATACAGAGACCCCAGAGGCCAGAGATGCCCTTGATCTCCTCAGGAAGGGTCTGTGAAGATACTGGCCTAGGCAGGGCCCTGCACCTCCTCACTGAGGAGGGAACCTGTCCTGAGATGGGTTTCTGTGTTGTGGGCCAGGGAATACTGGCAAAGGAAGCAGAGACTAAGGCACTGGGGCCCTCAAGGAGACTGAATGGGGCTCATCACAAAATATCTCTGAGTCCTAAGTGGGCAGCAAGTGGGGGTGGCCTCCTCAGGGACTCAGCATCTCCATGCCTGGGGCCTCTGTCTTTGATGCCAGGTTTCTTTGAATAAGGGAGAGAGTGGCAGTGGGAACAGAAGCTCTTTCTGGTCTGGGCACCTTGACTTTCCCAGAGTGGCACCTATCTTCTCTTTGTGTAAAGGGGAAACTGAGACTCAGAGTCTCACTCAGGACCACAGAACAATGCAGCACAGTCTGCATTACAACCCAGTCTCCTGTCCCCAACCTAGCTCCCCACAACCCCTTTCCAGACAGCACTTTGCGACATCTCAGGGAGCAAGGCTCTGGGTCCAGACAACCAGCCCTTCCCACACAGGGCCTTAGGCATATGGAGGAGGTCTCCATTTTCTCCAGATCCAATCTCTAGCCTGCTCTGTGCCTCAGGAGGCTAATATCTATGGGCTGCATCACCTGAGCCCTCTTGCCCCTGTCTTGCCTTGGCTTTGGCAAGCAGGAGGCACAGGCAGGAAATCAGAGGGTGGGGATGGGGTGGGATGGAAGGCCAGGGTACTCATGCCTTTCCCAGGGCTTTCACTGCATCCCAGTAACACTGCTCTCTTCTGCT